ATGCCGTGGAGCGAGGAGGAGAAGCCTGCAGGAATGCAGAGCAGAGGCAAGGATGAAACCCCTTGGCACAGGGAAATGGGGAATGACATCTGGAAGACGCCTCTTGTTGGCTCTTTTGCAGGTTGTATAAAGACAGCAAAGATCACAGGAGTAAAATGTTTGCTTTCTGTTATTTTGATTATTTTTGAGAAGTGATTGACAGGGAAGGAAACCTCATTTTGGCTCTGAGCATCCCAGAGTGGTTGGAAGGCAGCATTTGGCTGCTGTGCTGTGACAGACACAATCAGCCTGCTCCAGTCTGGAGTTTTTAGCCTGGAACACGGTGGGTAACACGGTCACCTTGGCTTTCTGGGGGCTGTGGATGTCCCTGAGGAGCTGCAGGCTGTTCCCAGAGCAGGGAATGCACGTGGATGCCGGGGCAGTGAGTGCCCGCAGTTGTCAGGAGCGTGGGGAGTGCTCAGAGTGTGAGCACTGAGGGCAGCAGGTCAGAGCAGGCTTCGTGAGGAGCTGCAGCCTTCGCCAGGCAAACAGACACAATAAACCCCTGAAGAAAATTCAGAGTATTAGTGCTGCATTTGGGCTAGAGAAGGAAACCAAGCCTTCAGGAGGAGCTGATCGAGGAATCTAGAGCAGGCTGGCACACCAGGAGCTGACTCTGGGCTGCAGATGGCTGGAGACAACCTGCAGAGCTGTTGAATTATTAATGTTAATTTGAAGGAGTTCTTTGCATTCTGCTGCTTTTCTGGATGTGGAGAAACACACGAAGATTTTTTTTTCCGTAACAATTTATTTATTTGAAACTTTACATTAAAAAAAAATTCCTTGAAACAGAAAGCTCTTCTTTTAAGATGCTTCACCTTGCAAGTGGTACAGGAGCTGAAGAGGCAGCAGGGAGCTCTGTTCCCCTGGGTGGGGGAAAGGCGTGTCCAAGTGGGATTTGTTGGGAATCATTCCTCCAGGAGCCTGACGCTGGTTTTTGTGTGATGGGGCAGAAGGCCAAGGCTTTGTGTGGCTGTTCTGTACCTTCAGCCTTGTTCCTGTCCCCAGACCTGCCTTCCTCAGTGGAAGGTGGTGTCACAGCCCTGGGGATGATGCAGGGCAGATGTCACCACTTGGAAAGGGGAAGGCAAGGAGCAAGCAGGAACTCCTGGTGTTGCAGGGGGAGCTGAACTCAGGGGAGAGCAATGTTTCCTCTTGGTAAATGTTGCTGTTCCTGCTCTCTCCAGAGCCCTCCTTGCTGGAGCATCTCATGGCAGGTCTCCAAAGGAGCCCAGGAGTTACCTGAGGAAAGCCTTGATGGTGGTGAAGAGATTTGTCTTAAATCTGTAAATGTGTGTAGAGAAAAATGTGAAAAAATAAAGGCTTCAAGAAGAGAATGGATTTCCTGCACAAGCAGGAAATTGAGCCTCCTGGCCAGGGAGGGATTTCAAATGAGACTCATATGAGGATTTGGAATTTGGAAATTTGTCCCAGGATCTGTGTTTAATGCTGATAACTTCATCCTCAACTCTGTAAAATAATGTAGCTGCAGATATTTCATGTTTAATGCTGACTTAATCTCGTGTTTGTATTAACTCCCAGAAGCAATTTGAACTCACTGGCATAAACCCAGGCAGGTTTCTAACACTTGAGTGTTCATCTGGGTAATGTTTAAGCAGAAAGTTTTCAGATTGCAAACTGTAGTGTAAAAATCAAATATTAATGGGGTCTAAAACGTCCAGTCTGAGATGTACCACAAAATGCAGAATTTCTCATAAATGCACTGACTTTCCTTGGTATTACTTGAACTGGAATAGAAAGCAGTTCAATGGCTCTGAGTTACAAACCTGTTCTCACTCAGGCTGAAATAAATGGGTGTCTCAGTTCCAGCCTGGCCTGGAGTCACTTTCAGGGATGCTCCAGTGGGATCAGGTGAGCTCCCTGGGATGATAAAACTTCACATTTTCAATCAAACCCAGAACATAATGGTTTTTTCCTAGCTGAAAATACCTGTAGATATTGCACTGTACTCACAGGCAGATCTGTTTGGCCTCTAAATGAGATAAGGGGTGAATTAGGAATATTTTAAAAGGTCTTTAGCATAAGATGTAAATTTTAGTGTCAAATGCTTTAATAAGCAGCTTCTCTTCCGAGCAGACTCAGAACTCCCTGTGCTCCCTGAGTCCCATTTCCCATGGCTTTGGGATGAATTCTCTGCCATCACTTCTCAGCAAGAGCATTTTGACCGAGTGGATTTTGCCATTTAAGTATTGCAGGTTCTGACCCAGAGTTATTAAATCACTTTAAATCGGGTGCACTACAAGCTTGGGAGTTGTATCCCATTTTTTAACATACAGATGACACTCCAAAGTGCAGAGCCCACAGTAAGAGCTGCTGTGCTTTGATCTTGAGCCTCTGCTGACAAAGCATTTTGGATATTGGTTTTCTTACAAACTTGCCAAATGTTCTTCTGCTTCATTTTTAAATTCTAACAAAAATCCATGGAAATGTATTCTGATGGATATGCTCCTGAAATGGGGAAAAGAAAATTTCCACTGTCTTAATGACAGATGAGAATGTCCTCGTACTGCTTGTATTAAGAACCTTTAAATATGCAGTGAAGTTTCTGGTGTGTTCCAAAAGAGTTTAGAAATGGAAAAAGCATTATTGGGGTTTAAAGCATTATTGGGGTTTTTGGGCTCAGGGGTTTTGGGGTTTTTTTGATCAGTTCCATGCATTGTCCCCCCAAACCCCCCTGAGCCGGGCTGAGGCAGCGTGGGCAGCAGGGCAGGGGGCATTGAGAGCCCACCTGCACAGGGAGCAGCACAGGGAGCACCTGGAGCTGCTGCACAGCCCAGAGGAGGCTCCAGGATGAGCAGAGGGATGGAGCAGCTCTGCTGGGAGAGCTGGGAATGCTGAGCCTGGAGAGGAGAAGCTTTGGGGTGACCTCACTGTGGCCTTGCAGGGCCTGAAAGAGCTGCAGAGAGGATGGGGAGAGACTTTACACAGGGGATATTGAGAATAAAATCCTCGCTGTGAGGAGAGGTCAGGGGGGACAGGGATGAGCTGTAGCTCGGGATGTGCTCCCTGTTAGCAGAACAAATGGTGTGGAGTGCAAGGCTTTGCATCCTTTGGGGGAGGTGGCAGAGGGGAAATCACCCCATTTGTCTCTGGGATCAATTCCTGTTTCTCTCATGGGTTTGCTGTCAGGTTTTCCAGGAGAAACACTTATTTAAAACCCTGAACCTGGAATTGGAAAAGAAATATCAGCCTGTTCAGCATAAGCCACCAATCAGATATTACCAGCAAAATACTGAAAAATAAGTCAGTATTATACTGCAAATGGGAAACAATAAATAAATGAGATGGAGAAGATTGCTTGGCAGGATACTTTCTCTTGGAAGAACGATTTATGTGTTTCCACGTCTAATAAGTCATTTTTTGTGTGGTTTTCTGTGTTTCCCTGGGGTGTTCAGTGTGTGTGTGCCAGCGTGGGATGGTTCTGGCAGCATCTGTGGCCTTGCATGGCCTGCAGCTGCCTGGCTTTCCCGAGGAGCTGGCAGTGCCTGGGGTGGCTGGGGAGCTGTCCCCAGGCTTGTGCAGGGCTCAGGTGCTTTGGGGTGCTGCTTTTGGGTGCTCCTGGGGCACTGAGGGCTCTGCAGGACCGGGCTGCCCCTCACCCTGGTCCTGACAGTGACTCTGGTGTCTCTGTGCACGTCCCTGGTCCTGTCAGTGACTCTGGTGTCTCTGTGCATGTCCCTGGTCCTGCCAGTGACTCTGGTGTCTCTGTGCATGTCCCTGGCTTTGCTCTAAGACACATGTCCTGAGTGCTGAGTGCAGCTCTGGCCTCTCCACCCCATCCATGGGCACTCCCTGTGAAATCCTGAGCAGGGAATTCCTCTCAGGCTCCTGTTCCCATCTCTGTGCTGCACAGTGCTGCTTGGTCCTGGGTAATTCCTGGCACGAGGAACTCCTCCAGGACTGCAGGGTTTGTTAGCAGGAGCACGGTTTGGGATGAAGCCACAAACCACAGCTCTTGCTGGTTTCTTATTCCATGTTCCCCATCCTGGCCACGGGAGTGAGGAAACGCTGCAGGATTTCTGTCCTGGTGTGCAGCCTGTGAATGGTGTCTGGCTGCTCCACTTTCTGTACACATTACACATTTATGTGGCTCTAGGCTTTTCTCTAAGTGTGAAATTTGGGATTGTTTTTCCCCTTGTGTTGTGGATTGCACGGAGCACCCTGGGGAGGTGGGGATGTGGCAAGCCCTGAACGCCTGCAGTCCCTGAGAGCCTCGTCACTGCTCCTGTTTCCCTCCTCTGGTTTAGGTGTTGGCATGAGGGAGTCTAGAAACAAAACCCACGGAGATGTGGAGTGCTAGATTTCAAGCAGTATTTGTAGCTGGCCAAGGTGGTTTGTCATTGGTTTAATGGAGGTTTTGGGGTGCCTGGGTGGGATAACCCCACGTGGAGCAGCAGCTGGAGCCACACCAGGATTTCTCCTTACAGGGCTCTCCAAGAAAAAACAACACGTGAAGAAAACAAAATAAAAAATGCACTAAATATCTTTGTTCTGGTGTGTGTCTGTTTGTTTAATTTTTTCATGGTTTTGTTTGTCACTTGGGAGTTCTTCCATTTTAATTCTTTTAGTTTCAATATTAGAGATCACACACTGCATTATAATATTGGTCAGGGCCCCTGAATAGCATTGCCTCATGTTTTAATAATGTGTTGCAGTTGGACAATGGCTAATTTGAGATGAGTAGCAGAAGTTCACTGGTATCCATTTCCATGCTCAGAAAGAGAAGAATGGGCTCTGGAAATAATAACAAAAATAGTAACATAGAGTCTAAGTACTGTTCTAATAAAAAATATGAAAAATTTCATCAGTCAGGCCTTGCTTAAAATAGTCCATGTGAAAGAGCAGGTAGGAGAGGTTGTTTGAAGGCCTGCAGAGGTTCTGGGAGTGGTGATGTTTGAAGGTTCCTGCACTCAGGGCTGTGCTCTTGCCTGTCTTTGCAGATGAAGACTGTAAGTGTTGCCTTAGTTTTGTGCCTCAACGTCGGCGTGGACCCCCCAGACGTGGTGAAAACGACTCCCTGTGCCCGCCTGGAGTGCTGGATTGGTGAGTGCCCCCAGTCCCACAGCACAGAACTCATCCCAAAGCTGTGCATTCCCAGGGCTTCAAACTGGGCTGAGCAGAAGGGAAACAGGGATCTGATTTTTCTCTGGGTTAATGAAGAGTCCAGCTCCAGCTGCTGCCATGGGTCATCTCTCCTGCTGTGTTCTGAAATGAGAAACCATGGAGGAAAACAGCTGTTAATGAGCTGCTTTGCTTTCTTGTAATTATTTTAGATTTATAAATATCTAAAGGAAATCTCTGGGCAGAGGCACCTTCAGAGTGCTGGGATCTGCAAAGCTTCCAATCTGCCTTCTCTGCTTCACCCAGCTGAGCAGTGAGGTTTGTGAAACACCTTGCTGTGTTTTGAGGTGCCTGCTCCAGGGCTGTTTTAATTGGAATCATTCAGAAGACCTGGAATTATTCCCAAGGATGTCTTGTGCAGTTCCAGCACCTGGGTTTGCCATTTTCATGCAGCATTGCACTAAATTCCTAGGGTTTTTTTGTGAAGAAATTAAAAGTTGCTTTGGTTTTGGAGAAAGAAGTCTAATTACCAAGATGAGACAATTCTGAATATTAGAAGTAAATATCTTGTATACAGAAGCTTTCTCAGAGAGATTTGGTTTTTATCTGGGAATTGGGAATGTTCAGCCTCCAGCACGTCCCACGCTGGGCACTGGAATCCTCAGCTCGGGGCTTCGACAGGCCCCAGGAGCAAATCAATCACTGCACAAACAGAATTTCTTAAAAACTTCCAGCAGATTTTCTAACCTTGCCTTACCTGCTTTGTGAAGCACAGCACCTCAGGTTTTTAACCTGGAAACGCTGATGAGAGCCCTGAGCAGGCACAGACAGGTACCTGAGAGCAGCCCTGATGTCTCATTGACACACAGGAGCGTTGCAGAGTCACTTAAATAAAGTCATTAGTGCCTATCATTAGCAAAGAGAATTTTGAATGCACTTTTGTAATTAAATTTTCAGTCTGTTTATGTACACAAGTGCTCCTTCCATTTGCAGCCAACTTGAAATTTCTGGAAAAGGCAATTGGGGAAATATCTGATGTTTTTCCTGCCATCAGTCCCAGGAGCAGGGAGTGGGTGCAGGAATGTCTGTGCCACATCTGCAGGGTCTGGGGAACTCTCTGGGGTGCAGCTGCTGCTGTTCACACCTGAGCTGGGGTCACAGCTGCTCACCCCTGGTGACAAATGGCCACTGAGCAGAGCCACGTGCAGGTCCTGCTGCACCTTCCACGTGCTTTTATTCATTAAAGAAAAAATAACTCTCAAAAATCCTGCTTTCATCCTGCTTTATTACATTTTGTTTCTAGCAAAAGTATATTTGCAAAAGCTGGGAAAACAACCCCCTTCACTGATCTGGTTTAGTGCTTTTAAAATAATTGATATTAAATAGGAAAATATTAGCTTGTAGGGTTTAAGAAAACTTGTTAATTGTTTAATTATATGTCCATGGTGTTTGAATAAAGCACGTGGCCTGGAATTGTATTGCTATGTATGGATTGTGGTAATTATCTAGCAATAAAATTAACTTCTTAAATATTACAAATGGCACACAATCTCTGCAGCAGGAAGCAAAGGAAGTAAATGAAGCAGGATTTTGCATTCATCAACAGAAAATGTTTGTCATCAAATATTTAACCAATTTGAGTTCTTGTCATTATTTACAATGGAAACCTTATTTCATTATTAAAAGAAACAAATGCAATGCCTCTCCTGTCTTTCAAAACAAAATTGTTTTTAGCACCTCAGTGAGAGAAATCTTCCACATTTGTCAGTCTGTAACGGAGCTGGAATTTTGTTGGGCTCAGGAATCCGGGGATAATTTTTGGGTGCTGCCCTCAGGTAAATTCCACAAGGAACAGAGGTGTTCATGAGTTTAATAATGGAAGGAACCTGCATGAAAATATCCCGCAGAGAGCTGGGGTGAGCAATGCTGCTGTGTGTTCTGTTCCCAGATCCTCTGTCCATGGGGCCTCAGAAAGCTCTGGAGACCATCGGGGCCAACCTACAGAAGCAGTATGAGAACTGGCAGCCCAGGGTGAGTGTTGCCTGTTCCTGGGGCTCCTGCTGGCCTTTTCTCTGAGGGTATTTATGTCTTGGAGCATTTGTGGCAGATATTCGTGTACAGTTAAGAGAATTTCCTTTCTGCGTTTTTCCTCGTGGCACGTGGCCAATTTTTAAATCTCAGCAGCCCAAGAATTTAGCAGAAAATTCAAAAGGTGCCTGAAATCAAACAGGAGAAAAAGCATCTTGGAGCAAAGGTGAAAAGAAGCCCTTTCCTGCTCTCTGTGTGAGTCCTGGTGCTGGGGGAGGAGGGACAGGGCAGGAGCAGCAGGTTCCCTGCGTGGGCCTGGTGGAGGCAATCCCAGAGCTGGGCTGGTTCCCTGGTTCCTGCAGGAAATCACAGCCCCTGACACATTGCAAAGCCAAACACGTCCTAGTTTATTGCACTCCACAGGGCTCTGGAGCTTTCTGCAGTAATAAAGAGAAGTTGGTGTGCCATCTGCAATAAAACAATAGGAACATTATTGAATTTCCTAGAGCTTTCATATAAATACTAATACATCCAGTTTTGTCTGTTTCTTGGGGGCTTGGAATGGTTGAGGAGTGGATGGAAGGAAGACAATTTGGGGAAAACCAGGCAGTCTGGAAAGAAGAGCAAATGATGACAATCTTCTGAAATATTCCCGGGCTGTCAGTTCCTTCCAGCAGGAGCTGCTGTCTTCAGCACCTTGTTGTGGATTCTCAGTGGTGCTGATGGCTGGCAGGGGATGGTGGCAGTGGTGACCACTGGGACCAGTGCTGTGGCACTGCTGCCAGCCAGTCCTTGGCTGCTTCTGCTCAAACATCCCCCTTCTTGCTCAGTGCAAACAGCTTTTCTGAAAGGTAAAAGGGGTAAAGCATGAAAATTCCTTGTTTCTGGAAGCTCCCAGGCTGCACAGCTGATGGATATTTCTTTCCAGGTCTTATTGAGCCCCTCTCTAAATAATTTATCAGCTTGCCATTGCTTGAAGTATTTGTTCTGATTAAATTTAGGACTTTGCTTTATTGTAGCGTAGCTACATAAATTCGTGTGCTGCGGGAGTAAAAACCACTTCAGCTGTTGTTTCCTCTGCAAAATCCTGCAGTTAAGCAATATTCAGTCATTTCATGCAGTTCTCAAATGAAGATTGTACTGGGGGAGAGGATGGGAAATGACAGAGCTGTGGGCTCGATCTGCCTTGATAGAGAGTTCTCTGAACAAGTAAAGAGTTCTGCAGTTCAGTGCAGATATAATTGAGCTGCTGGTGAAAAAGTGGAAGGAAAACCAAGGCAGCTCTACACTAACACTCCCTTGGCTTTGGGGCTTGAGTTTTACTGGGAGGGGAAGGGGTTAAACCTGAGGGTAATCTGGAAAGAGGCTCAATTACAGGGATCAAAGGGGCTGCTTAAGCAGCTGAGAATGGAAGGAGAAAAGGGAGTGAAAGTGAAGAGCACAGGGCCAGGGAATGCCTGACTGGAGGGGAAAACCTTCCCTGGGATTGCTCCTTGGTCTGGGAATCTGGGGTTGGGAATGGCTGGAGGAGCTGGGTGGAACTGGAGCTGGCTGGTGGCAGGGCCTGGATCCACGGGGAACACCGGGAAAGGAACCTTTGGCTGAGACAGAACTGCCCAGAATAAATTAACTGAGTCTTTGTGGGAGGTTGCTCTGTATTTAAAACATTTGGATAAGAAATGGGCTACAGTGCAATGGGATTTCTGTGCTGCTGACCCCCTGCAGAACCCTGCCTGTGTGAGGTGCAGCCCTGGGGCAGGTGCCCAGCCAGAGCACAGCTCTGCTGTGCTGGCAGGGAGCAGCAAATATTTCCTTGTGGTTGGGGTGTAAATTCAGCTTTTTGGCAGCACTGCAGGTTGTAGCAGTGCAAAGGCAGGGACTGAAGAGTCAAGGGCCTTTGAAGACAGGAGTGGAGGGCTGTGAGCCACAAGCCTGCTGCAGTGGGATGGTTTCTGGGGATGCAGGAGCTCAGGGAGGTTTATGAGCAGCACTTACTGCTCTGCAAGTCCCAGTTTGGCAGTGGAGCTGCAGCCCTGCAGAGCTGCCTGGGGAGGATGAAGGGGATGTGCAGGCTCTGAGTTCTCTGCAGCCTGCAGGCTGGAGCTGGCAGTGCTGTGTGCTGATCCCTGCACACAGCCTGTGCCACGAGCTCGGAATGGGATGGCTGCTGCCCTCTTAGGAGGGTGCCAGGCTTTATTCCCCTGCTTCTCCTTCCCTGGCTCCCAGCCCTCTCTGGGCAGCCCAGGGCCCTGTGCCTCCATCCCTGTGGATGTGCTGTGGAGCCAAAGGCCGGGGTTGGATGAGGCACAGTTTCCATAATTCAGGACCTGGTATGAGGTAGTCTGGAGCATATGCTTATTAAATTTACATGAAATGATAGATTTTTTTTTATCCCTCTTCGTTTGCTGTGGCTTTCGACCAGGTTCTCCCTTTAGCTCTGAACTGACCAGAACACTCACAGGAGCTGTTCCTCCTTCACTCAGTCATTTTGATGCTTCTGTTGGGACTTCATTGGTGCACAGACCCCAGTGGCACTCCTGCACCAGCTGCTGTTTGCAATCCTGTCCTTTATTCTCTGATGAGCTTTCCCAGCCCTGCCTGGAAAGCCAAACTCCACAGTTCATAACCATTCCTAGCAGAGGTGAGAAGGATGCAGACACAGCTCCTCCGTGGCTCCAGCTCCTGCTGAACTGTTCCACTGGGATCTTTTGTGCAGAGCCCTTCCAGCTGCAGGGCAGTTCTTCCATGGAGTGTCCTCTGAGAAGCAGCTGCACGGAGCGTGGGGGCAGAGATTTGCCATCAGCACTCCCCTCCTGCCCTTCCAGGGCTCCTGCACCTCTGCAACAACCAGCAGCAGCGAGGCCAAGGGACTGAAACAGCTCATCCCAAAGAATCCTCCCCCTTAGGCCCACCTATGTAAAACAAAGTCAATTACAGTATTGATTTTTTAATTCAACTGCTACAATTTTGCCTCCCTTTTTCTTCTCTCAGTTTCCTCCTTTTTCGCTAAGAGAGTCATTTGGGCTGTTTTCATTCTCTGCTGGAATGAGCTGATTTCATTAGAGCTGAGTGGATTATACCTGAACGGGCATCCCTGGGGTGAAGGAGAACTGTGAGCCACAAAGGGGGATGAAAATCCTGGATGGGGACTGGGGAAATCTAGAAGACAAGATTAAATAAACTTGTAGGAAGCCTTTGGGAAGGGTGTCTTGAAAGCAAGTTGTGGTGTCTGGGAGTGCCTGCAGCTGGAGTTTGGGGGTGGCATGGGCACTGGAACACGGCAGTTCTGCTTCTGTTCCAGTGAAAAAAAGAAAAGGAAAGAGGAGGTTTCCCATTTCTCTCTGATCCCATCTCACCTGATGTGTGGTGCCTCCTGCCTGCACCAGTGATGGTCTCTGAGGAAACATCTCCCACAATCTGGATAAATTATCTCTTTTGTGGCAGACCTTCAAGGAAACAGTGATTTTCTGATCAAGCAGGCTGCTTCTCCCTCTCTTCTAGTCTGCTTCCCAACAGTTTTCTCTTGATTTCAAAGGAAGTACAGCCAAGACACTTGAAATGGATCACTGAAAGCCTCTACCTTTTAGTGCATGTTGTCAGTTGTTGATGCTGTTGTTCCCCTCATTAGAGATCGCTGGGCTTTGATTCGGTGTCTGAGGTTTCATTCCTTCGTTGCTTTTTTCTGCCTAATTAATTGGGAAGTTGCTGCTGCACATCAAAGGGGGAGCATTTCCTAAAGAGTAACTACTTAAGCATGAAAACTAATTGAACACATGACCTAATTATTGGTCTCTCAGTGAGTCATACTTTTCCTTTATTTCTGTGGGGTTTTTCCTTTAAAACAACAGCAAATACTAATTGCTCCTGCAGAAGAAATACTGTAAAATTCCAAAGGGGAACATGGAAAAACTGGTACTTGGTCTCCAGTTGGAGATAGCTGCAGATGTAGGTACATGTAAGAAAAAAATGAATAGGAAGGAAAAAACAAAAAGACAGTGTGACCTTGTTTAACAAAACCAGGTTCTCTTTAGAGGACTATGTTTGTTGGTTTTCATTTCCCAACTGCCTCTTGAATTTGGCAGCTATTTCAGGCTCTGCAAAATTCTGCTGTATCAATCCTTTGCTGTCTTGTTAAAGATCAACTGTCTTCAGCATAAACCAGCACGGGTTTTTTCAGGGAAAAAAAAAATAGCCTGCAATAGAAGTGGAGTCAACAAGTCTAATTGTCAAACCCAGTTATTGCTGTTCTCCTGTGTGAAAACCTGTGCTGGTCAGAGTGTCACTGCTGCTTCACTGAATGTCCCTCTGGAAGCACCAGGCCAGAAATGCACAGATTTCAAACGTGGTAAAGGATGAAACCCACTCTTTAATGCCTTGGGAATATGGAGAAAACGAGGAGAAATGAGTCAGTGGTTGTAGTTTTCCCTTTGGTGGCTCTGCAGGTGATGGGCATCCCAAGCCTGCCTCACCCAGGGCTGGCTCAGAGCAGCTGCTCCTCTGTGCTGACAGCCCTCCCCTGGGGCACCCTTCCCTGCACTGGCAGCAGCTGGACATGGAAGGGCTCCTGGAGCAGGGATAACTGAGGATTTGGGAATTGGCTGTGCAAGGGGGAAGCTCCCTGCTGCAGCTCCGGGTACAACTCATGTTTTAATGCTTTTGATAGTGAGGAAAAAAAAAGCCCTGATAAATGTTTAACACACCACTGAAAGAGGAAACTGTGAAATTGCAGCAGTAGTGTACTTAATACTGATTTCTCAGAGATTCTCCTGGAAAAATGAGTCACAAAAGGGAAGGAAAGAGTTGCAGGCATGAGCTGCTGTGGGGAAGGGTGTTCTGAGCTGCAGAGACCGGGAAGTGGCATTAAGCTGTTCTGTGAACTGAGCTGTTGGTGCACTGCAGACAGCACGGTCTGGCCTTCTGGAGCTAAGTCAACAAACTTGCAAAGTCAGTTTAGTGGGAAAATCCTGAAATCCTGTGGGTCTTGGCATCTGCTGCAAGCCTGG